GAGTGAGCCTGACAAAAGTGACATAAATCTGCATACATGAATGAATGAATGGACTTTCGTGGTAAATTCTAGATTTCTCCTGGCAAAATGCGGCCCAAGGTAGTGAAGATCACTTTGTAATTTTCTAGGATTCCCCTCACCCCGCCCCTTTTTCTACAATTTTCTGCCACTTGCAAAAAGCCAACATTCTTAAGCCGAGCACTCCAATAGTCTCACAATCAAGTCCACTATTTGCAGTTGGTAGAGGCAACTTCTTTGTGTTGGTCCATTTGTGGAATGGCCCCTCCCTAGTATAATCTAACTGTAGCTTTGCCAGTCTTAAGCAGCTTTTAAAAACTCTTTAGTTTGTGCTTTAACTACTTTCCCATATTCAAGACATACGCCTAGCTTAGAGCAATCTGGGTATCACCAAATAGAAAGAATTCCATAAAGAGTTTTTCTCTCTGCACATTCTTCAATTTAATTCAGAGGTTTTAACGGCAAGATAGTTCGATGTACCTGGAGAAAATATTCATTCCACAACTGAGATGACCTGAGTTATGTGCCCATGCAATGATCATTTAGTCACTTAGAAATACAGGTAGTCCTTGACTTATGATCACAATTGAACCCATTTTTTTTGTTGCTAAGTGAGACAAGTGAGTTTTGCCCCATTTTATGACCTTGTTGCCACAGTTAAGTGAATCGCTGCAGTTGTTAAGTTAGTAATGCAAATGTTAAGTGAATCTGGCTTTCCCACTGACTTTGCTTGTCAGAAGGTCACAAAAGGGGATGGCATGACCCCAGGACACTACAACCGTCACAAATATGAGACAGCTGCCAAGCGTCTAAATTTTGATCTTGTGACCCTGGGGATGCTGCAACAGCTGCGTGAAAACCAGTCATAAGTCACTTTTTTCAGAGCCGTTGTAACTTTGTATGGTCACTAAGGACTACCTGTACCATTGGCACCACTGGTTTTGGGGCTAAAGAAAATAATGTGGCATGCTGTGCTTTTCCCCAAGGCAGGGGTAGGCAACCTTGGCTGTTTTATGACTCGTGGACTTCAACTCCCAGAATTCCTGAGCCAGCATGCCTCAGCTTGGGAACTCTCTCTCCCCTTAGCATGGCTGGCTCAGGAATTCTGGGAGTTGAAGTCCACGAGTCATAAAAGAAACAAGGTTGCCTATCCCTGCCCTAAGGGAAAGTGAAGGCCCAGCTCTTAGACTTGGCACGAGGCTTCTGCAAAGACCCCATGGATCATCTCAAACCCAATAGGTAGACCTCTTGGGAGAGGGGCTCCAAAAGCAGAGTCCACCTTCTGGGAACCAGCCTCCAAGACAAGACAACTTGGTCAGATGGGAAAAAGGGCCTACCTGTTCAAAAGTCCATTTTATACCACGTGGCCCAATTTACATCTCCATTCTTTATCAGGGTTGGGAATATTCTAGCAAGGTCACCATCAGTTACTCTTTTAAACACCATGGCGCCAGTACAAAGACACCAAAGAGTGGAAGGGAAGCCGTGGGGAATACAAAATAAAATTCTGGAATTACCATCATACATTGTATTTATACCACTGCCACTAACAATGCAAGATTTTAGAATCTAGACCAGGGGTCGGCAATCTTGGCTCTTTTATGACTCGTGGACTTCAATTCCCAGAATTCCTGAGCCAGCCATGCTGAGGGGAAAGGGAGAGGTTTCCAAGCTGAGCCATGCTGGCTCAGGAATTCTGGGAGTTGAAGTCCACGATTCATAAAAGAGCCAAGGTTGCCTACCCCTGATCTAGACTAAAGATTCAGGTAGTCCTTGACTTACAACCATTCCTTTAGTGACCATTTGAAGTTACGACGGCATTGAAAAAAGTGACATATTTTTCACACTTACAACCATTGCAGCATCCACATGGTCACATGATCAAAATTCGGTCACTTGACAACTGGCAAGTATTTGTGACAGTCGCAGTGTCCCGGGGGGGTAATGCAATCACCTTTTGATGACTTTGTGACAAGCAAAGTCAATGGGGAAGCCAGATTTCACTCAACTGGGTTACTAACTGAACTGCAGTGATTCACTTAACAACTGTGGCAAGAAAAGTTGTAAAATGGGGCAAAAGTCACTGAACAACTGTCTTACTTAGCAATAGAAAATGTGGGCTCAATTGTGGTCGTAAGTTGAGGACTAGCTGTATTGCAGGGGTCACTTTTAGAAAGTAAAATCAAATCACCTTTGGCTCCAGCATGATTTTAGATGACTTTCCCAGACCCATGTGATTTTCTTGGAAACACTTGGAAGGGATTTGCCACTACCTCCTTTGAGGATGCATTTTAAAAAAAATTCTAGTTCAGGCTGAAGTATTAGAATTTCATAGTAAATGCCCATCCAAGAATGAACCAGGCCCAATCATGCTTAGATACCCCTGGATATAAATTAAAAAATCGTTGTCATCAGGCAGGAAACTGGTGAGATCTTGAGGTGGCTGTTAACATCTATTCTCTCTATTCTACCTTGTGATTTTTAATATTTTAAAAATACTGTTGTTTTTATGCTTCCATTGTATGCTGCTCAGAGCCACTCTTTGTGGAGGTGGACAGTCACATAAATCTGATAAATAAAAAAAGAAGGAAAAGACGAGAGCTCCAGTGTATAAATACAGCACACCAAACTTTTCATGAACAAGTCCTTCTTTCGAAATTAGTGTTGCACATATTTCCTAGAGCAGGGGTCCTCAAACATGGCCACTTTAAGACTTGTGGACTTCAACTCCCAGAATTCCCCAGCCAGCCATGGCTAGCTAGGGAATTCTGGGAGTTGAAGTCCACAAGTCTTAAAGCGGCCAAGTTTGAGGACCCCTGTCCTAGAGCTTAAATGAGGAGCTGTCCAAATGCTGACCACCCCAACTCTTTGCCAGGCCTAGTCAAGACACCCAGCAGAATCCTAAAATCAAATAACAGATGGGAATCTTGCAAAATTGACCAATGCAGTAAAGATTTAATGGCTCTTGTATGAGCTTTCACAAGATTTCAAGTAAGAATACCAACAAAAATCACTGAAACTGTACAAGTCTTGGTGTATCTTGTGAGATTTGGGGCCCCGTTTCCTTTAATGTTATAACTCTTGGGCGTTCTGCTTCATTACACAATGGGGTTCTATGCCACCAGAAGACACTTCCAGTAGGGCAAGGCTTGTAGTTTGAGGCAAAGGAGGGTTGTCCCCTCTGTAGGAATTTCTTGTCTACCGTTTGTGTGCGTGCGTGTGTGTGTGTGCACGTGTGGGCACCTTTGAATCAATGTACACTCCTGGTGACTGCCTGGATAAGTCCCTGCAGTTTTCTTAGCAAGATTGTCCAAAGTGGTTTCGCCTGGCCTCTTTCCTAGGGCTGTGAGAGAAGGACTGGCCCAAGGTCCCCAACTGGCTTTGTGCCTAAGGCAGAACTAGAACTCAAAGCCCTCCAGTTTCTAGGCTGATGCCTTAACCATTATCCCAAACTGGTTCTCACCCTTCCTGGGATGCTCAAAAAAGGAACAGGAGGATACCTGGCTTTGACTATGCAATGGTGGATTCTTGCTCAGCTTTAATTAGAATTAAAACCTCCAGAAAAATCTAGTCCTTGTTCAATTACATAAAATGCCCCGAGAAAGAAATTAAACATAAACCAAACAATAGAGAGGGGGGGGGGAAACACTAGGGGAGCCAGAAATAGCGCCCTGCTGTTTCCCAGTTTGTTTCTGCCATTATGAGTCACCTGCCTCTCAGTTTTGCACAGGGCTTCAGTGATGCAACAATTCTTTATATAAAACTGCAACCACCTGTTCAGCGGCACAGACAGGGATTCGTTCCAGGTGTGTCTGAACTCGTGTTTTTTTTTTTTTCCCCTTTGCTGTATCGCAGGCGAGACCACATGCAGGTTGCCTTGTTTTCTAGGTCTGTATCAGGCCACCCTGAAAAGAGGCTGTTTTGTTTTTGGCTTTGCTTCTGGCGGAAAACCCCAGTGGTGCCAACTTCCATCCCACAGGGGAAAAAAACATATAGCCGTGACACTGCATTCGTTTCAAAATTAAAGTCTTCATTCAAAATTAGAGTCTCCGTCCTTGGCTGGGCTCTTCCTGCGAGAGAGCTTCAAACAGAGCTGGTATGCAGATGTCCACAAGGCTGCCGGGTGTCTGTACAAAAAGAGGGCAGGCAATTCCCGAAAGACTTAAGACTTCCCTCTTTTATGCAAAAGGCAGGAGACTGATAACGTGAGGGAACCCAACTTCACTTTCAGATCCGAGGTCCAGAGAGGCTGCTTTTCCTATTACCTTGGACATTTGCTCTGTGCTGCTCTAACGTCGAACCAAAGAGCATTCTGACGAGCTCCGAGGGACTCCTCGATCCTACTCAGCAAGCTCTGTGGGGAAGTCCAAATCTCAAGGGGGGGGGAAACCCCTGCTGAGAAAAGACCAGGAGCTGAGCAAGATCTCCCTTGCTTGCATCTGGACTGAATTCCTGACCGAAAGGCTCCCTCAGACAATGATAGCAGGATTGCTGGCAGAAGATTTGTGTTCTGCCTCTGCAACAGGCCACCCTTCTACAGGCTCAAAGTATCTCAGAGGGCCAAATGCAAATATATAAGACTTGTCTGGATACTTTACTGATTAGTAAGATATACGAAAACTCTCGCTGGAGAAGAAAGGATCGTTGGATCGGGCTTCTCGATTAGGGATAAGAAGAAGGGTTGGGTAGGGGATCCACGGTCGTAGATAAAACCTTATATGCCCAACGCAAGAGGTTGGGGGCCGTTCGTGTTCGGACTTTTTGTCTTGCCTACGACGGACACCATGGCGGAGCCCTTTCTGCCTGCTGGTCTTGTAGAAGCCCATACCCAGAAGGTTCAGGTAAGTCCTAAACTAGAGGAGAACCCCCCCCAGACAGACTGTTTCAGTTCAAGAGCAGCCGAGCTGATTCCAGGAGCTGAGAAAGCACCAAAAAAATCCAGGTTATGCTGGTTGGTTGCCACCAGCTGAGTCCACTGGGAAGTCCTGAACCAACAATGGTTTATCTGAGGAAAAACAAGAAAAAGGGATGAGACAGAGGACAGGCTGGTCCCTGCAGGTCAAGCACCTGCAACAGCAGTTTCATAGTTAAGACTACTCAAAGCTAAGCAAAAGAGGAATTAAACCAGATGGAAATGTCTCAAGCAGAGCAAGGCTTGTTGCCTCTACTGGGAGATTTTACAATGTAAACCTGGAGGCAGAAAGTACTCCCTGAACAGCATGTCAAGATTCTAGAGAATTCTGATCTAGGTGAACCACCTCTTTTACTATTTCTTGTTTAATACTTCTATTAAGCAAACACAACAAGAGTTTGTTTAGCCTATCATCTGGACGAGGGGGATCATAGCTTATTCTTCCAAGTAAGTCAGGATTCATAAACCGAGAGTAAAATCCTAGTTGCAAATGGAGCAACAGTCAGGATCTCCAGTGCAAAGGTAGGCATCCTATCGGCCACATGATATTCCATGCCTTTTGGCATGGCCCACCATCGTGCTGGCCATTCCTTTTCCCCACAACTTGCTGCAATGCCCAGTGGTAATGTAACACTTTCCCTCCACCGGTGCAAAAGTTGAAGTATTTCTACTTTGTTCTCCAGATTCTGTGTCCTGAATGTATCATAATTTTAGGGATTTGTGGCAAACCTTGAACTGACACTGCCTGCTTTGCAATTCCTGCTAATGCAGCAGGAATCTAGTGTCGCATCAAAACTGGGCATCTGGCTGAAAGGCAGATGACCAATCTCTCTTGCCCCAACCCCTGCCTCATGCTGGATTAGATCTCAGGCAAGCCCAATTCAAGGCTTCCATGCTCCAGGCTTGGGTGGCCAGACTTCCATGCAGTATTAATAATAATAATAATAATAATAATAATAATAATAATAATAATAATAATAATAATAATAATAATAATAATAATAATAATAATAATAATAATAATAATAATAAAAGTTGGACGGGACCTTGGAGGTCATCTAGTCCAACCCCCTGCTCAAACAGGAAACCCTATACCATTTCAGATAAATGGCTGTCCAGTCTCTTCTTAAAAACTTCCAGTGTTGGAGCATTCACCGCTTCTGGAGGCAGGTTGTTCCACTGGTTAATTGTTCTAACTGTTAGGAAGTTTCTCCTTAGTTCTAGGTTGCTTCTCTCCTTGATCAGTTTCCATCCGTTGCTTCTTGTCCTGCCTTCAGGTGCTTTGGAGAACAGCTTGACTCCCTCTTCTTTGTGGCAGCCCCTGAGATATTGGAACACTGCTATCATGTCCCCCCTCGTCCTTCTCTTCGTTAAACTAGACATACCCAATTTCAGCAACCATTCCTTATATGTTTTAGCCTCCAGTTAGCTAAGGAGCCAGGCTGTAAGAATTCTTCTAGACACCACAATCCACATTCTGGTAGCCTAGAAAATGACACACTCCAATTATTTCATAGAAGGCAGGGGACAAGTTTACGTACCTACCAACTCACCGTCTTTCCCTTCCCTGGTCAATCTCATGCAGTTATCTGGTGGTGGCTCCTACTGACTGCTTCTTCAGTTATGGTGCTAGGGGGACTCCCAGACTGGGAGCCCTGCTGTCCCCACTGCTGTGAGCAGAACACCACCATCTCCTCCAAGTTGCGCAGTACAGTCTCAGTGCCCTTGGGAGGCACCGGCGGGATCCGAGCTGGCTCCAGCACTCTGCAAAGGAAGACAGGCAGACGTTGCTAGCAAACCCTGCACTCAGCATGCTACAACCACTGTAATGGTGTGTGGGAATGAGCGTGGGAGACAGACAGGCAGGACAGCCATAGACAGGAACAACTGGCAGGTAAGAGATGTCTCAGCCCACAGAAGGAAAAGGGGCACGGGAATCATTTCAGAAGGGACCCTCCCTAGTTTTCCGGAGGGTCAACCGAAAGGAGAAATACTTTCAGTCTTGGCAACATTCTGTTAATCTAACCCAGGGGTCTTCAAACTTGGCCCTTTTATGACTTGTGGACTTCAACTCCCAGAATTCCTCAGCCAGGCATGCCTGGCTGAGGAATTCTGGGAGTTGAAGTCCACAAGTCATAAAAGGGCCAAGTTTGAAGACCCCTGATCTAACCTTATAGTAAGATGGAGTTAATATTCTTGGTTGTGCTATGTTGCAAGGCTAACAAAAACTGATGATTCATGCAAACAGCTACACTGCACGGAAAGCAGGCTATGTTAGGCCAAGTCCTGTAAACAGCAATGAGATCTGATCAGTGAGTCCAACCCCCATCTTAGTGCAAGAATCTAAATTAAAACAGGGGTAAAGGTGGCCTTTTAGTCCCCACTTGAATATGTCTCCTGAATACCATCTCTCTGGGTTATTGGGTCCACTGCTTTACTATCAAGACGCCTTTCCTGACATTCATTAAGAATATGCATACTTCAAATCTCTTCTTCCGCTTCCTGCTGCCTGAGGTGACAGAGGTCTCAAGTCTTCTTCTGTGTGATGTCCTTTAAAATGTTTGATGATCGTGCTCATATTTTATTTATTTAATCAACTTCTATCCTGGGTCACAGTTGGGGCACTAGCCGGAGAGACAGACGTGTCATTCAAGGCTGCTCGCATTTGAGAAATGCAAATGAGAAAAATCAAAACAATGCCCTTATATCAGACGTACAATAAACGTTACCAGAATCAGCTCCATTAAAAGTGAAAAGCTTGGTGAGAAGAGATGGGGGTCTTGCCCTTTTTCTGAAGGCTGGATGAACGGAGGGCCAAACAAACGCATTTTTTTAGGGACAGCACTACGCAGATCTTCTTCCATAAGCCACAAGGCTCTTGAGAAGAGCCTCTCTTACTGATCTAAGTAACTAGCCAAATTCACAAGTTCCCCCTATGTGCAAGACCAAGCCATTTAGGTCTTTAATGGAGTCACGGTCTGAGAAAATTCATCACGAATCATTTGTTGACTGTTGGACACGTCTAGAAAGGTAAATCCGCAGTACACTAAGGAAAATAGAACGTGACAAATCGTCGGACTAGTGATGTAAAGTATAAGTAACGTTGAAGGCCGTGAAGAGTTTTTTTGTCGAGGCGCATTTCGTATAACATCATTAGTTCTACCCTAATTAAGAAAGGTGTGGATAATTGTTGCTGAGTCAGACTGGTTCAGGAAAGGTCGCGGTTGGGACACTAGCCATAGAGTTGAAAGGAGCTCTTAACGCAGACATTACCTGGAGGGTAAATAACAGCAGGGGATCAAGGACCACTGTTGGACTATAGACCTGCTTTTTCAACTGAAACTTTCCTTCAGTTCCCAAGTCCAGAAGCCCTGCCATTGGATCTGGGTTCATCTTGTTCTCTCATCCAGACCATTACTGAGCTTAGGCAGCACTCAAGGGCGCTGCCTGCTTTCTTGAATTACATCAGTGTTTTTGGCAACTTTGAGATGTGTGGCATTCTACTCCCAGAATTTCCCAGCTAGCATGCCGAGTAGAGAATTCTGGGACTTCAGAAGTGCATCCTAAAATTACCAAATTGGAAAAAAACACCAAGCTAGATTATAGGGAGTGCTAAAGCTTGGGTTCTGAAGGAGATTCATACTGCTCTTTCTTTGCTTGGCTATCTGTTACATTTTTGCCGTCTTCACCGCATAATTGGAATATTGATTCTTTTCTTTTATTCTTTTCAAGGTCTCTAAAGAAGTCCTTTCGATTATTCTTGGCAGCTCCTTTTGAGTTTCAGCTTTCCTGAGCACTTTCTATTTCCAGGCTACTTCTCCAAGGCTTCTTTGTCTTTTTTTTACTCATCCCATCCGTCCTAGAATAGTCCCTGCTTTACAGTATTTTCAGACCTTCCGCTAAATGTTTTATGCAATCACGCTGATTTCTTTTGCTGCGCTCCATGTTTTGTTTTTTGGGTGTTTTTTTGCAAATTGGAATCATCTGCACTTGTGCTTTTTAACTCTCTTTTTTTAGGAACACTAATCCACGTACTTTGAGCTCTTTTTTTTTCCATTTGCTTCTCCTGTCACAAGAATAATTGCTCTGAATTCATTAAAATCCTCTTATTTTAAGCTTATGTATTTCAGCCAATTACACTTAGCTTTCATTTCCATTAAAATAATAAAAGTCTACTATGACATGGACACTGTGCCCCAAGATCTCTGCTATTTCCCCTTTGACTAAGTCTTCCGTGGTGTTAGTACCCAGTCAAGACGATCCTCTAACCTTTTGAAGGAAAAAGTTTGTCAGTATAAGGAAAGACACAAATTTCCTGCAAGGACCATGCTTTAATTTGTTTCCCAGAAAAGCTTAAGATAATTAAAATTTAAAGTAATTAAATTTGCTTTTTTTAAAAAAAAAAAGAAATCATCCAATTTATATTGATATAAATCTCTGCTATGCGTTGCAGAATTCACTCTTCTGAATAAAAGAACAAGTAAATAAATACACACAGATCTGCTCTCTTTTTGCAAAACCCAACCAAATGAGAAGAATTAGAAATATAATGTCTCCTGTTGATTAAATCAGAGACAGGGATGGTTAACATTTCAAATTAGAGGTAGTCCTTGCTTAATTATGTTAATTGGGATCAGAATCTCAATCATTAAGCAATGCATTCGTAGAGTGTGATGTCACACGACCACACATTGCTTAGCAACAGCGATCCCAGTAGTCGCTGTTGCCGTTGTTAAGCGAGCATTGCAGGTTGTGAAGCAAGGGCCTCCTTGCAATCTCCTGCTGGGTTCCAACAACTAAAATCAGTGAGGAAGCTGGAAGGAAGTTGCAAGTGCCAGCTGGTTCACAAGCAAGCTGACTGGCAGGTATGGGGCATGGATAAGCGACTTTTGGTCTGGGAATGGCTGCTGCTGGGTGAGGGAGGGAGGGTGCGTGAGTGGTTGCAGCAACACACATGAGAGATTTCAAATCTGATGGTGGCTGCTGCAGGTGAGAGAGACTTAACCAAGCATCTTGCAACCTTCCTTGCTGGCTTCCCCATTGACTTGGCTTGTGGAAACCTGGCAGGGAAAGTCACAAATGGCGATGGGATTGCCATGGGACACTGCAACTTTTGTAAGTGTGCAGTGGTTTGTCAGGTGGCCAGGTTGTGATAACGTGACCCGTGGAAGTGTGCCATGCTGGAACTTGGAGGACCAGTTGTTAAGTACCGCTCGTTCAGCACCACTGCAACTTTGAATGGTCGCTAAATGAACGGTTGGTAAGTGAGGACTGACTAGCTGTGGCAAATTGCAAAGGCAGACAATTATGAGCCTTGTGTTTTGTCAAGTGAAATGCAATCCACTCTCTTAAACTGAAAGTTTTTAAACAGCATCCACCCTCTTTATTAGTCAGCTTCTTTCTGAGTTCTTTTGCAAGCAGAATTTCATTTAAGAAAAGGAGGTAATCAGGAAGAGGGAGAACTTGACAAAGAAGAAGTCTGGCAGGTCTAAATCTTAGTGGAAAATCCTTTGTTATCTCTACTAAGATATATCTGCTGCCAGTTACCCCTAATAAAGTATAACTGCCATGAGATACCCCACATTCAATATTTTAATTTCCTTATTTATTTTTGCATGGGACAGTGGAGAGCAATGGAAAAGAGAGAATATGCTTAACTCCATGGGATTATTTCCAAAATACTAGGGGAAAAAAAAACCCCAACCCCAGCCCCCTGGCCCCAAACACTCTCTGGGAAAGTTAACCAATCCTAAAATAAACCTTGGAGATATTCTGGCTGCTTACCTGTCTGAGGAAACGATGCCTGTGTGGCTCATAGAACGTCTAACCTGAAGGATGGAGAGAAAAAAAACATACAATGGTAAGGATATAAACACAAAGTAATACCCTGCTATTCTGACTGGCACATGTATGGATAGTTACAACTTCACAAACACAAATGGGTTTTTTTGTGGTGTGTGTGGGGGGGGGGAATAGTCACTGTAAGTGACCAACTACACATTCAGATTTTTAAAATTATTAATCTAAGTTTGACTTTTTTTTCTCCAGCTGCATAGTCTCTGGAAAAATGGTCTCTCTTTAGTTTATTAGATGTTTTAAGAGCTTAATCTCACAGACGACAGCTTTTAAACCATATGTCAACTACTTAGCTCAGGGGCCTCCAACCTTGGCAACTCACCCAGCAAAGCTGGCTGAGGAATTCTGGGAGTTGAAGTCCACAAGTCTTAAAGTTGCCAAGGTTGAGGACCCCTGACTTAGCAGATGTACTTTCCCAAGCTGTTGACCACCAGGGAGCCCCATCTCCAGCCACTGGTGCAAGCCAAATCAGCAAGAGTAGCAAACTAAGATCTGGAGGTTCCATGCCAAAAACAAACAGATAGCAGTCTATTTCTCGTCATAAAGCAAGTCTAAATTACTTCTTCACTTCCTATCACCTTTCACAACTGCCTACAGATAACTGCAGTTCGTAGCAGAATAGGATTCAGCTTAAACAGACGAACGGGACAACTCGCCGCAGCCAAATCACTACAGCCAACTTGCCGGGGGACCACTTAACGATCCAATTTAATTATTTAAAATAAATTTTAAAAAATATTTTAATTTTTGTCATTCACGTTTCGTTTTGTCCCCTCCTTTGGCATCCTTTCTTTAATGATTCTATTCCACCATTTCTTTGATATTAGTGTAACTCTTGTCCCGCAGCACGTTGTCCCGTGGTGAGTTGGCCAGAGCAAATTGGCCGTGGCGAATTGTCACAGACCTCTTGACAGATATAATCCAGTTCCTAGGTAATAAAAAAACAACTAACTCAATATGATCAAGGTATGAAAATGGCAGATCTTAGAATTAAAAATGAAAGCCATGCTATATAATGGTAACTTTGTTCCAACTCTACATTCTAAGGAATGTAGAGATTTCCTGTCAGCACCATGGCGAGCTGATGTTTAGCTAGCTTTTGCCGGCTAGCAAGACAGCTTTGTGAGGGAAATCACCACTGGATACTGGATCCGAGTCAGCATAATCTCTCCAAAACAAAGGAGATTGTTGAGATCATCCATAGGACCCTGGATAGGCGCCCCTCATGAGTAGACCATGGAAACTGTCGTTACCACAGTCAGCTTACAAATGTAGTGGCTGATAGTCAGGATTTACCTCAAGATAAAACCTGCAAAGCAGCCTTTATAGACACTAAGCTTGACCGAGCCTTATATCTTAATCACTTTTTTTGGAATTTGGGTTTTTTTTCTTTAATTCTTTGCATATTAGAGAGATTAAAACCCTTTGGAGGAGTAGCAAGGTTTTACTGAATTCATCGGATGAGTTTTCGTCTTCTTAAAAGATGGTGCGAATTTGATTTTTAAAAGTTTTAAAAATTTATAATTTGCGGGGGGGAGGAGGGGACCGTGCAGCAAAAGGGTGCTTAGTATATGGATTTTGGAAAGTTAATGACGGATTAAGAGGCCAGAAGGATTTGGAATTATAGCTTTGAATTATTTAGAAGATTCTTTCTCGCGGGAGAATGGAGATTGATTTTATTTTGGNNNNGTGCGAATTTGATTTTTAAAAGTTTTAAAAATTTATAATTTGCGGGGGGGAGGAGGGGACCGTGCAGCAAAAGGGTGCTTAGTATATGGATTTTGGAAAGTTAATGACGGATTAAGAGGCCAGAAGGATTTGGAATTATAGCTTTGAATTATTTAGAAGATTCTTTCTCGCGGGAGAATGGAGATTGATTTTATTTTGGTTTTTTTTTATGATCAGGAGACCTTGAAGGCTGGACAATAGAGGCAGAGGGTAAAGAAAGTGGAGGAGACATCGTTAGTGCGAATTTTTGAATATCTCTCAGCCAAGCTTTTGCACAGAATGGAACAAATGGTGATAAGCTATTAAAACTCTTTTTACCTGCTGGGATGAAGGGGAAGTTCTTTTTTATTTTTCATTCCCTTTTTCTTTTCTTTTCCTTTTACCCGCTCCCTCCCCCACTTTTCTTTTTCTTGTATATTTGTTTGTGATTTTTATACTTATTGCATCATACACCATTGACTTTTATTCTTTTCATGTATAATTCTTAATAAAATTATTTGAAAAGAAAGGATGCATACTAGAGCAGGTCTGTATATACCAGGGGTAGGCAACCTTGGCTCTTTTATGACTGGTGGACTTCAACTCCCAGAATTCCTGAGCCAGCCATGCTGAGGGGAAAGGGAGAAGTTTCCAAGCTGAGCCATGCCGGCTCAGGAATTCTGGGAGTTGAAGTCCATGAGTCATAAAAGAGCCAAGGTTGCCTACCCCTGGTATATATTGTTACAGTTTTCATTAATGTAGTATAGACATAATGAATGCAATTAAAAGGTCAAAATACTTGCAGTTTCTTTTATACTTAAAATGGGTTGGTCCAACCTCTCTTAAGAGAGCCTTCCACAACACAAAAAACTTGTAGATATTTTACACTACAACTCCCATTAGCCTTTGCTAAAATAGCCAATGCTCAGAATAACTGAAGGGAATATATTGGTCAAATGAATTCTCCATATTCTGAGATCTAGTGATTACTCTTGTCTTTTTTTTAATATAATGTATAAATCACAGACATACAAATATATAGAATTTCTAAATTAGAATGGCTTTTTAACTTACAGAAACACACGATATGCCTATGAACAGACAATTACACAATTTCACACGTAAAACAAAAAGACAAATGCTTTGGGCATTATGAGCTTTTTCAGCATGTACACGAATTCTGATGAACTATATAAAATGATCAGCATCAGGAATTTATTTCATTCTGAGATGTCATTCATTGCACATTAAGATAAATGCCTCCGGAATGGTTATTTGGTTATTTCCCACAAGAAATTAAGTCAGGACTACCAGTTTGGTGGTTTCTAGATGTTTGGGACTAAAACTCCTAAATCCCAGCTAGCATGAGGGCAGTAATTAAAAAAAAAAGGATTTATGTGGAATCAAGTTGCCTATTCTTGATTAAATCTGTAAGAATGAAAAACAGCACCATGGTGTGACAATTTCTTTCCTGGCAATGTGGCATAAACACAGCTTTTCAGAAGCAACCCAACTGAGCTTCCTATTAGGGTAGAACTAATGAATATGAATAGGAAGAAGTAATAAGTAGCCTTACCCGGTGGGAATGTGGAAGTTTAGTGCCCACAAAATCAGAAGGCTCAGGAACTGTTGAAGGATGATACAGCTCAGGGGCCAAGCGAGTATTTGCAAATTTCATGCATTCTTCTAGGGTAGAGATGAACTGACTGCAGGTTGCCCGCAATAAAGATGAAGCTTCATTCATCTTCTGGTGGGAATTGAGAGCACAGACAAGTGAAGCAGCACAACTGCATGATGGCCTTTCCACCCTAATCCTCAGAGTCCCACCACCCAATGGGGGGGGAGGGGCTTGAGAGCTAAAAGGCCCAATTCGAATGCTCAGTTGCTCTCTACGTGCCCCTTTCCTGCCCAAATGGGTTGGGCTTCCCAACAAGCAACTCTAGATAGGAACATTAATTCTTCATTCAGCTACATGAAAGGACTGTGTCACTTCAGCAAATCAACACTGGCTTTACAAGGTTTATAATTCTATTAGAACACAGGAAATATAATAATAATAATAACATTAACAACAACAGCAACAACAACAACAATAATAATTGGAAGGGACCTTGGAGGTCTTCTAGTCCAACCCCCTGCTCAGGCAGGAAACCCTATACCATTTCAGATAAATATCAATATCAATTTCAAATATCAATATCAAGCACACTTTCCTGAAGTCACTCTCCTCTCCCCAGATCTTTGCTTGTAATGCAGTTAAATAAGAATGCAAAACTACAGCAAAGTACTTGATTCTCCATTGGAGTCTGCAATCCTTAAGATCTCAAGCCCACCTTTTAAAACATTGGTAAATGTTTCCTATATACTACGTCATCACCTGAAATTTTAGCAGTGGTGGAGCAATACTGAGACAAGCTCACCTCTATTCCCATTCCAAAAATTTGTTCCATGGAGAAAATAGGAGCATCAATGCATTTTAGATAAAGCGGGAAAACTCCCTAAGGCTGTTGCTTTACAAATGTGGTACACAGAAGCAGCATGAATTCTATTTTTTTTAATTCTGATTAAGTTCTAATTTTAAGTTATTTACACTGGAAGTAAAACTAAATTTAACACTTTCAAACGATTCAAAATTATATCCCCTACATATTTATTTATTTATTTAATTTATTTATTTAATTACATTTATATCCCGCCCTTCTCCTTGCGGACTCAGGGCGGCTAACAATCAGATAAAATACAAAAATACAATACACCTTTAAAATTAATTAAAAAGAGATATTTAAATTCAATCTGATTAAAAGTAATTAAAACCCCTTTAAAATCCCTTAGGCCAGTCCCGCAAGCTGGAACAACCATGTCTTNGTGCGAATTTGATTTTTAAAAGTTTTAAAAATTTATAATTTGCGGGGGGGAGGAGGGGACCGTGCAGCAAAAGGGTGCTTAGTATATGGATTTTGGAAAGTTAATGACGGATTAAGAGGCCAGAAGGATTTGGAATTATAGCTTTGAATTATTTAGAAGATTCTTTCTCGCGGGAGAATGGAGATTGATTTTATTTTGGGGTTTTTTTATGATCAGGAGACCTTGAAGGCCGGACAATAGAGGCAGAGGGTAAAGAAAGTGGAGGAGACATCGTTAGTGCGAATTTTTGAATATCTCTCAGCCAAGCTTTTGCACAGAATGGAACAAATGGTGATAAGCTATTAAAACTGTTTTTACCTGCTGGGATGAAGGGGAAGTTCTTTTTTATTTTTCATTCCCTTTTTCTTTTCTTTTCCTTTTACCCGCTCCCTCCCCCACTTTTCTTTTTCTTGTATATTTGTTTGTGATTTTTATACTTATTGCATCATACACCATTGACTTTTATTCTTTTCATGTACAATTCTTAATACAATTATTTGAAAAGAAAGGATGCATACTAGAGCAGGTCTGTATATATCAGGGGTAGGCAACCTTGACTCTTTTATGACTGGTGCACTTCAACTCCCAGAATTCCTGAGCCAGCCATGCTGAGGGGAAAGGGAGAAGTTTCCAAGCTGAGCCATGCCGGCTCAGGAATTCTGGGAGTTGAAGTCCACCAGTCATAAAAGAGCCAAAGTTGCCTACCCCTGGTATATATTGTTACAGTTTTCATTAATGTAGTATAGACATAATGAATGCAATTAAGAGGTCAAAATACTTGCAGTTTCTTTTATACTTAAAATGGGTTGGTCCAACCTCTCTTAAGAGAGCCTTCCACAACACAAAAAACTTGTAGATATTTTACACTACAACTCCCATTAGCCTTTGCTAAAATAGCCAATGCTCAGGATAACTGAAGGGAATATATTGGTCAAATGAATTCTCCATATTCTGAGATCTAGTGATTACTCTTGTCTTTTTTTTTAATATAATGTATAAATCACAGACATACAAATATATAGAATTTCTAAATTAGAATGGCTTTTTAACTTACAGAAACACATGATATGCCTATGAACAGACAATTACACAATTTCACACGTAAAACAAAAAGACAAATGCTTTGGGCATTATGAGCTTTTTCAGCATGTACACGAATTCTGATGAACTATATAAAATGATCAGCATCAGGAATTTATTTCATTCTGAGATGTCATTCATTGCACATTAAGATAAATGCCTCCGGAATGGTTATTTGGTTATTATTTCCCACAAGAAATTAAGTCAGGACTACCAGTTTCGTGGTTCCTAGATGTTTGGGACTAAAACTCCTAAATCCCAGCTAGCATGAGGGCAGTAATTAAAAAAAAGGAATCAAGTTGCCTATTCTTGATTAAATCTATGAGAATGAAAAACAGCACCATGGTATGACAATTTCTTTCCTGGCAATGTGGCATAAACACAGCTTTTCAGAAGCAACCCAACTGAGCCTCTTATTAGGGTAGAACTAATGCATATGAATAGGAAGAAGTAATAAGTAGCCTTACCCGGTGGGAATGTGGAAGTTTAGTGCCCACAAAATCAGAAGACTCAGGGACTGTTGAAGGATGATACAGCTCAGGGGCCAAGCGAGTATTTGCAAATTTCATGCATTCTTCTAGGGTAGAGATGAACTGACTGCAGGTTGCCCGCAATAAAGATGAAGCTTCATTCATCTTCTGGTGGGAATTGAGAGCACAGACAAGTGAAGCAGCACAACTGCATGATGGCCTTTCCACCCTAATCCTCAGAGTCCCACCACCCAATGGGGGGGGGAGGGGCTTGAGAGCTAAAAGGCCCAATTCGAATGCTCAGTTGCTCTCTACGTGCCCCTTTCCTGCCCAAATGGGTTGGGCTTCCCAACAAGCAACTCTAGATAGGAACATTAATTCTTCATTCAGCTACATGAAAGGACTGTGTCACTTCAGCAAATCAACACTGGCTTTACAAGGTTTATAATTCTATTAAAACACAGGAAATATAATAACAATAATAACATTAACAACAACAGCAACAACAATAATAATTGGAAGGGACCTTGGAGGTCTTCTAGTCCAACCCCCTGCTCAGGCAGGAAACCCTATACCATTTCAGATAAATATCAATATCAATTTCAAATATCAATATCAAGCACGCTTTCCTGAAGTCACTCTCCTCTCCCCAGATCTTTGCTTGTAATGCAGTTACCGTAAATAAGAATGCAAAACTACAGCAAAGTACTTGATTCTCCATTGGAGTCTGCAATCCTTAAGATCTCAAGCCCACCTTTTAAAACATTGGTAAAAAAAAAAAGAGCCATTTCCTATATACTACGTCATCACCTGAAATTTTAGCAGTGGTGGAGCAATACTGAGACAAGCTCACCTCTATTCCCATTCCAAAAATTTGTTCCATGGAGAAAATAGGAGCATCAATGTATTAGATAAAGCGGGAAAACTCCCTAAGGCTGTTGCTTTACAAATGTGGTACACAGAAGCAGCATGAATTCTATTTTTTTTTAAATTCTGATTAAGTTCTAATTTTAAGTTATTTACACTGGAAGTAAAACTAAATTTAACACTTTCAAATGCTTCAGAATTATATCCCCTGCATATGCAATTAGAGCAGGTACTGGGCTAAACAACAAACCATCCAGGCTGGAGAGCCAAGGCAGTTGCACATACAAGAGATAAAGACATTAGATTCAGGCCACTGGGGCATGGTATTTTTCCAATATTGCCAGTAAGAATGGAATAATAGTCCAGTGTTTCTGTTCGAAAACATACTTTTGGCATTAAGCCTTTGATTGAATTTTTTTTTAAAGATTGCTAATTATTTCTGGAGCAATGATGGAAAGATTGAGAGAGAATAAATTGTTCAAAAAACCCTGAGAACTTTATTTTAGCACTTAGATCAATTGATAAGTCACCCATGTCTAAAAGATTAAATAGCTGCACTGTTGATGATACATCGCAGATTTACCTGTCAATTGACAGATTTTTCTTTTGCTGAATTTGTAACTGGCTTCTAATGCCATGTCCAACTTTTAACAGGTGGGCCCGATCTGTGCCAGATGCATTAATGCATTAAAGGAGACAAAGTGGGATATATGGTCGTTAAGCCTCAATGAAACCAATAGATGTCATTGTTTAAATGGTGCTTGCAAAGAAACTGTGGTGGGTTCGTTGTAAATACGAATAGTGGCAGCATTTGGATCTTCCAAGCAAGAGGAAAATATGTCCTGGATCAGCCGGGCTTCCTTTATGTCAGACCATGTCCAAAACATAGGAATATCTACTTTACATAGCCATAAAACAGATCTAGAATTCTTAGTGGCCCTTGGATATTTGGATTGTTGTGTGGACTCTTCACCCTTAATTCCAAGGCACTACAGCAATGACTGACTGTGTCACTGGCTCCTGAGACCTCTGGACTACAAAATGCCATTGGGCCTGTTGGCTGAAGTTACTAGAAGACCAGGAGGCCTGGAGAGCTCTCAGCTTTCCATCTCGGTCCTACAGTGATCACAAATAAACTTGCTAATGTTGTCAGAGAACTAATATTTCACAGATTTCTTAACAGACCTGGCTGAAACATGCAAACACAGAAACTTGTAATTGCTCTAGATCAGACATGTCAAACACAAGGCCCGGGGGTCGGATGCGGCCTGCAAAGTGGTTTCATGTGGCCCGTGAAGCCATCCTAGAAACAGTGAGGGAACGGCCCCCGCTGCCTTGGCCCTGGCCCAGGCCAGTCGGGAGCCAATGTACAATTTTGTGGTGGCCATCTTGGCACTTGCCCCGGTCCCACTCCCTTCTGCCAGAGACCCTCAGATCTGTCCCATTCCTGCCCACGCCCCCACAGGCACCCTTGACGCGAATGATGTAGAACTGGCTACGCCCACCCAGTAGGCCACACCCACTCCATCCACGCCCACCCAGTAGGCTGCACCCACTTTGGCCACACCCACCCGGCCCACCAAGGGCAACCGCAATGCTGACACCCCTGCTCTAGATTCTCTCCCACCCTACCTGTATGTCCAAAGGAGATCCATTCTCTTGAGGTTGTGTTGCATCCTGCACAGCTAGCACTTGCTGTGTCAGCACGTCACAATATAGACGCAGTTCTGACAGTTTTCTTCCGAGGGACTCGTTGCTTATGTCCAGATCTGGGATAGATAAGCAAAATTTACACAAGACACTGAAAGAACATTCACACAGTGCCACAGAGTACAGAAGATTTAAGCAGAATCAGAATTAGTTCTGATTTTGCCAGTGAAAAGCTTGCTCCCTCGGTCATATCAAAATAACCTCTAAGATGCCTTCGGTGCTTTCAAAATGCAAATATCTTTTGAGTATTAATCTGTGGATAGCACCAAAACTGAAAATAAAATGCAAACGATGTAATAGGCAATGTGATATAGACTGTCAGTGTGTGTTCGTTTCATGTACCCTTTTCCAGTGCAGAGTAAAAATAAATATATAAAAAGATTAGTAAAATCAAATCAACTTCCTCTGTTTCAATGAAGCGGCACCAATTTATCTCTGAAATCCAAAAGCATCTAATGTGATGCAGGAACAAAGAGCTACTTTAAAGAACTGTGGTTAGATGTGTTCATGCTCTGAAGAATTTTTCTAAAAAAGAGCTTGCACATTGCATTAAGCTCGGCTGAGTTACCTTCTGGGCCTCGTGAACGTATGCACAATTTTGAAAGGACATCTCAAACACTTTTGTGACTTATTTTTGTTTTCTAAGAACATTGTCGCTCTGTGCCATGAGACATGGGAGATTTAGCACTTGAAAAAAAATAAAGATTTTAAAACACTGAAAATCAGCGTTGAGGTAGAGACTCTGGCTGGCACCACAGATAGCACATAACCTTTATTGAAGTATGCCAGGCTTTGATAATTCTTTAACACAGCAATATGAAGAAGAAACTAGGAGATGATGAAGCAAAGGAAAGCTGATTTAGTGACTTTCTGTGAAGTAATAGAGGAAAAAGTATGTTAACTGCAGTTGGTGCACAACTGTATCTGTGTGGGTGGGATGGAAGAAAACATTTATCACCCAATCTGCCAAAGAGAGGCTTAATCTTAGCCACCATCTTAGTGGTATTTATTCTGGGAAATGTACACATAACTTATGTGCATACGTGCACTCACGTTTCCAATATTTATTTAGGGAAGTAGAATTTCAGAATGGTCTATTAAAATGAAATACCTATTACAAAACATTGGAAACATTAACAATCTACTGAGTAAAAGATGAAGGATCATAAGAACAGTCTATAAATGACCCAAATATACATTAAAAGTATTTTAAGCGCAGGCTTTGACTTCCTCTCATACAAGGAAAAGTTAACAAAGCAGCTGAGGTCCCAAGCTGCCTTAAGTTGTGACTTATTTTGTCTAAGTAAATGGTGTAAATCCAGGCAATAGTCAAGTTTGCCTGTAATTAATTTACTATGGATCCAAAACTAGGTAATAGTGTAGGTTAGGGCTAAGAATGCTTTAACCAAAATATGAACTCATGCTTTGTGCTGTAGTAATATGGCTGAGTACAAACTGAGAAACCCCCAAGGGCTGCCACTAATCTGCTAGACATAGAAACAGCTGTTGGATAAGCTATATAGTATATAGCCTTGCTGACACCAACATAAAGCTGCTCTAATCTCTTTTCACGTCCTAAAGGGGGGATTACTTGGAGGGATTAACACTCCCCCCTTTTATACTCAGTGATTTAGACCTTTGTGGGGTTCCTATGTGGGTTTTCCCCCATTGAAATTGGGACTGCTCAAATTAAAGGGGAAAAAAGTTAAGTGGGGGATGACGAGCTATTGTAAAAGTAGCCATCTGACATCAACACCATACAGTGGGAGGTTGACATATAGGTCTGTGGGAAGATGTTAGCCATGAATAATGCTAAATTAACCTTGATGTGTCACATGAACTATGTCACGTTTGCTGATTCAGAAAACCTTATAAACCAGGCATGTCAAACTCACGACGTCACGTGATGTTGCGCGACGTATTGAGACTTTTCCCCCATTGCCGGGAATGGGGTGGGCGTGGTTTCGGCGTGATCCATCCGGCCTGCGGGCCGGCAGTTTGACATGCCTGTTATAAACGATGGTTTACTGTGACAAGTGAACCCAGTCAATAACAATGCTGTAATAAGTACTGGAATTCATTCTTCTTTCTCTGCACATTAAGCCCTTCATTTTTTACTCTCATCGAGTCTTATTTTGGGGGGGTTGAGCATGAACAAAGTTATGAACCAGCTGCAGTGCTTTTTCCTGGAGATCCTCAGAGACTGGCAAATAAATGGTGGAGATGCTAGTTGTCTGTAAGACTGTCTGTGTTCAATCATTCAAATAATGGATTTTTTAAAAAAAAATCCTAAAGACTTGCTTTTCAAAAGGGGAATCAGTTCTGTTCTTTCTCTCATTTTATTGCTGAAATACAAGTAGTCCTCGACTTATGACGACTGAGCCTAAAATTTCTGCTGTTAAGTGAGGCATTTGTTAAGTGAGTTTTGCCTCTTGTTATGACCTCTCTTGTCACAGTTGTGAAGTGAATCGTTGCAGTGGATAAGTTGGTAACCCGGTTGTTAAGCGAATCTGGCTTCCCCCATTGACTTTGCTGGTGAGGTGGTCACAAAAGGTGATCACATGACCTGGGGACACAGCAATGGTCATAAATATGAGTCAATTGTCAAGCTTTGATCACATGATCATGGGGATGCTGCAAAGGTCGCAAGTGTGAAAAACGGTCTTAAGTCACACTTTTCAGTGCCGTGGTAACTTTGAATGGTCACTAAATGAACTGTTGTAAGCCGAGGACTACCTGTATCTAAAAATAGTCCAAATCATGAAAACTAGCACTGGGGACTCAACAGCACATTCAGTGCTGTATCTACACTATGCTCTCCTTTTTGGATCCTGACATCAATTACTCTAACCCGCTGTAGCCAGTCAGCAATCTAACTATTATGAGAGCCAAATCCCTATATGCAAACATGGGTGTAAATGGAGGGGAGAGGTTGCAAATGACTCAACAAACCCAGATATGTTTGCTAATGAGAGTAAAGTACTCACTGAAGTTGACCAAGTATTTTTACTCAGTACTAACTAGCTCTATCAACAACCCCGTAATCTTGAGCCCACCAATTCATTAACACAAAGCTATTGACAAAAAAACCAACCTTTTTCTTTCTGGCTTCTGCTATCCCCGAGGCAGGCTTTGGAGCTGCCCAAAGCCACCAGCCATTTCTGTCTCTCAGCAGCACCTCCTGCCTTCAAGTAGAAGTACTGCTCACCTGGGATGACCAGCTCCATACGAGTGGAATCGGTTGCATGCACTACAGGGAGGGGTGAGAGAAATAAAAGGAAAATAAAAGCAAGCATACAATCACTACCGTCCCCCCACACACTCTGCCATGGACAGGGTGACACTTTTTCTTATTCGGTCAAAGATGATTTCATGGCCACCGATTGAAATCCCTACCTTCTATAAGATGAAGAATTAAGAGGGGAAAATAAAGCTATCTTTTCACCACTCAGAGATCATCTAGGGCAGGGGTAGGCAACCTTGGCTCTTTTATGACTTGTGGACTTCAACTCCCAGAATTCCTGAGGGCTCTTTTATGACTCGTGGACTTCAACTCCCAGAATTCCTGAGCCAGCCAGAAGTCCACGAGTCATAAAAGAGCCAAGGTTGCCTACCCCTGATCTAGGGCATTAAACTTGCAACATCACGTTACGATGTATTGCGACTTTTTTGCCATTGTCAGCAATGGGGTGGGCGCGGTTTTGCCATGACGCATCCAGCCTGCGCGGGCCGGCAGTTTGACACCCCTGATCTAGGGCTAAAGGAATACCATGCCCTCAGGTATGTGATTTGGACGAAGCACAGACCATAATAGCGAAGAACCCAACCAGAACACTCCAGATGAAAAACATCAACCTAATAAAAATTAGCCTAACTGAAAGAAAACGCCTTTAGGAGTAAGAGGTTTTAGAACACCGTTTTAAGTTTTTGGAGCCAACAGTGAGATTTCCAAATGCAATCTTTGTGTTTTTGGTAACGAGAGATAAAGTCTGCCTACTTCATTTACTGATATTTGCAGATCAAGCTAATGTTCAGTCACAGGAGCAAGGCATTTTTTCCCCATTTATTTGGCAAATGCACAAGCCTCCTACAGATTGTCCTTGATGTACCGTTTGAATTTAAAGATTGTACTGAACACACTGAGTTATAAATCCCACCTGAAGTTACAACCACTGAAGGCTTCCCAATCTATCTTCCCTCTCCATCTCAGCTGCCCAACCACTGCATACAAATCTGCTACTCCCCTGTCTTTACTTGCTCACTGCTTCCTTCCTAACCAATGCCCCACCATACCCAGAAGGCCCAGGCCTTCTCCCCACCCCACCATGCTTGCAATGCCTGGGTCCATTTACTTTTGCCTTTTTGTGCAGCTGCTGACAGGTGTGACAAGCTGATGCAAGTGCAGCCAGACAGCCAGTGAATGCAGTGTTTCTGAAGGCTAGATAGGGCCTCTGTCTACACTTCAGAAACATTGTATTCTCTAGTTTCTGGCTAGAAAACTAGCAAATGCAGCGTTTAGAAACATTGTGTTCTCTAGTTTTCTAGCCAGAAAGCTAACATCTTGGTATTTCTGAAACCTCAAAAGTCTAGCACATAGAGGGGAGGGGGGATTCCTGTGGCAGACCAGAGAAAGGAAATTGGGTTCCCAAAGATCCGAGCTTCCTTTCTCTAGCCCAGCACAGCAGTTCCCTTCTGCACATGGGGGGAAGAGGGGAGAAGACCTGTGATGGGCTGGAGAAATGGAGCTCGGATCTTCAGGATCCAAACTTTATTTCTCTGGCCCACAGCAAGAGTTCCCTTCCATACAGACAGGGAAGCTCTTTTGTTCCATCCACTTAATGATCGCAATTGGGAAAACTGGGTTTGTGGTCACTCAGTAAAACAGTCTTGTGGCTGTCTTGCTTAATGACCACAACAACTTACAACCACAATTCCAAGCCCGTGGTTATAAGTTGAGGACTACCTGTGGTTCAATACTTAAAAGAACACTGGGGGTGCCCAGACTAGAGGCATGGCATCATGTAATCTCTACATGGTATGTTAGAATTCCAGCAGATCCAGGTCAATTCTGTATAATCTAGGCTCTGCAGCATGCAATGAATCAACGTAACTTGCATGATTGCCAGTAGATTACCCGTCCACTGTTTGAAGGCTGAAAAGCCTGATGGACCATATCTGGGGTCCCTAGATATTGACTATATAATCTGGGCTTCAAGAGAGCCAGTTTTACACAGTGGTTTAAGATATCATGCCAGAAACCGGAAGACTGTGAATTCTAGTCTCGTCTTAGGTACAAAACCGGTAAGGTGACTTGTGCCAGTCATTCCCTCTCAGCCCTAGGAGGAAGGCAAGGGCAAACCAATTCCAAAAATGTTGCCAAGAAAGCTGCATGAACTTGTCAAGGCAAAGGCCATAAATCAAGGCTAATTCAAAGGCACCAAAACAAGTAATAATAATAAAAAAATCTGGTTTTGACTGAATGGCTGACAACTATCATTCCATAAGAAAGCAACTAATGAAGAAGGTAAGAAACCACAGGCTTTTAAAGGAAGAGCAGCAAACAGCTCTGGAATAAAGAAAGCAAGAAGGTGAAGCTGCTGCAGTCCTTAGCAGAAAACGGAAGACAATGCACAATACCGAATGAAGCAAAGTTTGGAAAAGATAAATTATGTTACATCTTTTCTATTCCATGTACAGTACTGAAACTGCCTACCTTTGATTTCACATACAGCCATCTTGATGCTGCCTTTGCTGCCTTTGCCCACATCGTCCTGAGAGTCATAATAGGAGAGGATGCCATTTTCTAACACAAAATATCGTGGCTGCCAACCTGAGGCCAGAGAAGAAGAAAAAAGAGGGCAAATTGGACCTTGTAAACTATTTGCAGTGGGGGATGGGGAGCAAGGGAAACCAACTAAACTTCCCCATATGTTTGGATTTACATTAATTTCCCAGGAATTTCTGAACTAAATTGACTAGGGTGGGCAACATGGTCCTTGTGGTACTATTCTTAATTTATGCCAGGCTCCTTGCCTCTCCATATTTATTGTTTGAAAATACTATTTATAATTAAATTAGAAGCAATCATGCTGTTGAGGGCTGCTCATTCAAAAACCGCCAGATACAAACATCAATTGACCATAATAATACTTTTCACTCTCTCTAGTTTAAAGGTACTTGGGTTTTGTCCCAAGACCTGGCCCAATAGACAGAACCCACAGCAGATTTATCCCCACAAATAGCTTCCATTCCACTCCATCTAGGGAAGAATCAGTGACAGGAAAGTAAAGTGTTCAATTCAGGAAATCTCTATGAGTTAGCCCCCAATCTACTTACTGTATGGAATCCCCTCCAGGAGGAATCTTGTCTGTTCCAGATTATTGTGATTTTGGCACCAAGCAAATACATTTCTCTTTTCCTTAGTATTCTAGGATTTTGAGCCCAGCTTTTAAACCCAGATTATAGAAGATAATTCTAATTCCCTGCATGAAATGACAGTATTACTATATTTTAGGTTCTATTCCTTATACAGTCTCTTTGGGGCCTTATTCTATTTTTCTACTCAATTACATGAGGTGTTGATTCTTTTGTATAATCTACCCAAGAGAAAGTTTATTGTTCAGTAGTTATAAATAAAAAAAAAAGATCAATTCCTCTCCCCTCCTATTTTACCTTATTTATTTATATCCCATGTTTCCTCCAACAGCTCAAGGTGGCCTTATCTCCATCTGTGCAATAAGCTGCTCCAGAGTATATGCCCAGCTCAATACCCCAGTGAGCATTCGGGGCTGAGGGCAAACACGAACTTGGGACTTACTAGTTGTCATCTTTCAACTACATTGTACTGGGGACCAAATGTTTACCTACCCTGCATTAAAGGGATGCCCATAGCAAGCTTTTATATACTGTACACATTCCAAGAATAAAGAAATTGGCCATAAATATTTTGTTCTTTAAGTAGAACAAAAAAGGTACATATACACTGCAATGAAGATTAGTGCTATCAATACAGTGTCCATACATCCTTTACTATAAAGAACAGTTTATTTCAGAAAGCTGTACTTTAAATTTATTTACTAAGCAATTTATTAAATAATTAATATTTAATTACAATTTGTTAATTAATCAATAATTAATTCTAATTTTGTGGGTTTGCTCTTGAATTTTCCTTTGTAAAGCAAAGTTATAAACGCAAAGAATTATTATTGTCTATCTTTATGAACCTCTTCCAGATTTGCCCCCAAACGGCGGGTTTGTCCTTTATTTCTTTCAAGAAAATAGAGTCACTTTTTCACAAAATGTAGTTTTTCACATCTACAGGCAACCTGGCAATGGTCGAAGTTTATTCTTTCACTGCGTCTCCAAGCTGGAGAAACCCGGTTTAATTTCTTCCAGCTGTGCAGCGCTTAAACAGTCTTTGATCCATTCAAATGTTGATGGATCGACCCTCCTCACCCGGGAAGAAGAGGCAGGTTCCATTGCAAAAGGATAGTTGCATTTCAGGAAGAATAAGGAAGAGCGAGACACAGAGAAACGGAGTACAAGCCTGCGGGGACAAAGATGGAAGGAGCCTGGGCTGCTGAATACTCTTCCTATTTCTATTAGGGCTGCGTGGCTACGGGAGAGGATACAGGCGGGCGGGGAGAGAGAAGAACCCGCATTAGAGCTCCCCGTTACTCGCTACCTGGGAGCCAGGCCTGCCTGGAACACTCCCACTCACCTGAAATATAGTTGGTCCATTTCAACAGCGCTCCCTCCATCACCAGCGCAGCTCAGCGCCGGTCTGCCACGCCGATCCAATTGCGGCCCTGCGCCGGCGAGGCTCAGCCAATCATGGGGCGTGTGCTGATCGGAACGGAGGAGGGTGGGGTGAAAGAGAGAGAGAGAGAGAGAGAGAGAGAAAGAGAGAGGTGGGGGTGGGGGTGGAAAGAACAGGAGGCGGACGAGAAGGAGGACAGGGGGGAGGAAGCGGAGGCGGGAGAAACGTAACGAATTGGAGGAGACACAAAGCCGGAAGTATCTCTCGGAGCCAATTACAAGACGCGGACCCTCGCACTGACTTAAGGGCAATGTAGTCCTGAAACTGCTCCGAATTTGGAACATGCCAATCCTCTCCCAGCACTTTCTTGACTCGTTTCTGAGTCCTCTCAGTGTTAGAAATGTGGCTTAGCGGGCGATAAGGAGTTGAGCTTCTCAGGGATATTGGTTAGAGCCGAGTCTGTGCAGGCTGGATGACGCAAGTTCAATGGGACTAACGACTAAAGATGTACAGGTTCAGACGGTCATATACAGTTGGCAGTTATCAAATATTTCATATCGTGTTTCGCTGGAAATCATCATCTTTGAACCAATACATGCAGGAGAATCCCAATAAACCAATCAAGAAAGGCACCCTTGGGTCCCACTGAGGTTTGTGAGATTTATCCTGTAATCATGGCTAAATGTTTTCATATCCTTATACATGCACTTTAACACCCCCCATATATTCCTTGAAGACTGAGAAACTGATTACTGAACTATTAGTTGCAAAATAACATGACATTTGGAGAATGAGCTATAGACCATTCTATAGCTAAGACAGTGATGGTGAACCTATGATATGCTTTGTTTTGGGGCGACATGCTAGCATCCATGAAAAGTTAACAAGTCTTTTCCCTGTTTGAATGAGCAAGAATACAAGAAATATGAGATTCTGCACCACACAAATCTTAAAATGGATTCTTCCCGTTTGTATCAGCACATGATCTCTCTTCAGAATTGTGATTGGTGGTGACATGAAATAGAGAGCAACTTACAAAATTTGATAGAAACATGACAGCTATGCTGATCAGGTATCTTCCAACCACTGCACAGATTGCAGTGAAGCTCATTTTCAAGGCGCAAGCGCAGAGAATATCTGCAACCACAGAGTCCAGAATGAGCGCACTATCAGTGTTTGTATGAACTCAGTTTTTTCATTTGTATGAACAAGTAGGTTGAACTATAAATGAATATATAAAGAATTGTTTCTCTTTTTGGAGGCGGGGGGGGGGGGCTGATATGTCAGCAGAATTAAGTTAGGCATATTCTGAATTTTTAACATGCTGAGCCACAAAGGTTCGCCATCAATGAGCTAGACTACCAGATCTGGGCTGCAAAAATCTCATTGACTTCTACAGTGACAGTTTTGATCTGATAGCTCTAGCTCAGAGAAACCAGATGTATTAAATTGGCTCCCATACTTTGGAGTGTGCTTGCTTCTATTTTTTAAAATCAGTTAATAGGCAAAGCTGTCCTAAGGATAAAAGAAATACTGACTTGTAGATAACCCATAAGCTGAACCAAAATCCTTTCGTGTGCACAATATGTGTCACAATATTTGGCTGCCTGTGTCCGATGCTGACCTGGTGCCTAAGCAGCATATAACTGAACAAGTTGTGCAATATACAATATAGCACAAAGGTTTTCTCTAAGTTCAGTATCATCTCCTTCAACTTAATCTATGATTTTGTTTCCAACTGAAAAAATCAGCCTTCTTTTAAAAAAATAGTAATGAATTGTAACTAAGGTCATATTTCTGATATTATCTCTTACCTCTGATTTTTTAAAAATTCCCAGTCTATACGTTTTAAACTGCAAGCCTTTTTGGGAGAAATGTATCTTTAGCATTGTTAATGCTATGTACCACCTCCACAAGGGCACACTGCATGAGTTATATACATTTGGATGTAAAAATAGGGAAGCTAAAGTTAATGGATTTGCAGAAATTCAGCAAATGATGTATACCCCTTCATAGCTACATTTGCACAAGAAAATGAAACTGTTAAATTCACATTTTAATAGTGTGCTGAACGAACCCAAACAAACTTATTTCATCATTCAATGAACCCAGAAAATGGGTGAATTCACTTAAGTATGGGTAAGTGTGCCATGCAAGCATAGTCACTAAACAAAACTTCTGACTTTGCTGGAATTGTAACTACAGGATCATCCTTCGTTGTTAAGCAATTGGGGAAGAGATGTGAGAAGGGATTAGAGCTAAAAAGTGATGCCACGCAGGTTTTGATCATTTAATCATCTTGATATATTATTATTCCTAACGTGGTACTTGTAATAGCGAAACTATTCTTCCTCGAACCGCGCCCGCATCCTTTGGGGTATATTTATATGTCTAATCCAATGTTACAGCTTGGAAAATTACAACAGGAGAACTACGACTCCCAGGGTGCACAGGAGCAACCATAATGCATTGAAGCGTATCGAAAGCGAAGCCACTCTGTGCCTCCCTATGCTGCAAGGTCTCACGGGATGCGTAGTCTTCTTGTCAATGTTGCCTTGTGGCGGTAGTCTTCGTGTGGACTCCAGCTTCCAGGATGCGCCACGTAGCGTTTTTGAGGCGACGGGAGACTATCGCTTCCTCTCTCCCGGCCTTTGTGAGCCGGGCTGGAGGGTGGAAGGAGTTGTGGTGGCGGCGGCGGCGGCGGGGCAGGAGGAGGGAATGAGCGAGGAGGAGGCGGAGGAGCCTTGCGGGAACGTGAGGAGCTGCGGCAGCTTCCCCAGGTGAATAACACCGCCTCTTTTGGGCCGTTGCTAAGAGACGAAGGGGCAAGCCCCGCCCCTTGCAGATTAACACCCCCCCCAAGGAACGCGTTTCGGGTGCCATTGAGACAATCCAAACGCTCCAAAGGCCCGGTCTGCCATCGGTCACCATGCTGCAATATAAGGCGTGTTTTGGCGAGATATCCTGGGCCTTGGATATCTCTCTCTCTATATATATATATATAAAGAGAGATATACGGTGTATCTATATCTGTCTATCACCAGCATCCGTCCATTCATGGAAGAAACCATCTTGTTAGGTTTACAGGAGCCGCATCACAACATAGTTTAGTTAACTCAGCCTCCCCACGCCGCCCAGCATGTTGCTGGCTAAGGATTATGAGAACTGAAGTCCTGCCTAAGCTTGGCACCGCACGGTTAAACTTTGTGATCGCTACTGTCCCATATTGGGGTTACGGGTTGCTTGAGTTCTGTGTGACATTCCCGATCAGCAGAAGGAAAGCAAGCAGGGAAGAATGGAACATAGCTTTGAATTAAACAGAATCTGCATTTTTCTCTTTCGTACATGGGATAGAGATTTAATTGATGTGGTTAATTCATAATGTATAATGTCGTTGTGTGTACTATTCTCATGCCGCTTGTCTGGGCTTAGAAGATAAGCAGGGGTGGGCCTGATAGTTTTTGGATGAAAAGCCACCAGGAAAGCTCAGTTCCATACTTAAGAAAACAGTATTTTATTTATTTATTTATTTATTTATTATTCGAATTTATATCCCGCCCTTCTCCTTGCGGACTCAGGGCGGCTGACAATCAATTAAAAACACCAATAACAGCACAAAATTTAAAATTAATTAAAATGAAATATTTAACTTGTCTAATTTAAAATATAATTAAAAACTCCTCTAAAAACCCCTCTTAAAAATTACCCTAGGNGAGATCAGGGATCACCCTGATCTCTGGGGGCAGCTCATTCCAGAGGGTGGGAGCTCCCACAGAGAAGGCCCTCCCCCTTGGGGTCGCCAGCCGGCACTGTCTGGCCGACGGCACCCTGAGGAGACCCACCCTGTGGGAGCGTACTGGCCGATGGGAGGTAATCTGTGGCAGAAGGCGGTCTCGAAGGTATCCTGGTCCAGGTAAGTCCATATTGTTGCCAGGATATCTTCAACCTTACTGCCTTAGAAGCAGGAATAGGACTGATTAGAAATAGAACACTTCCTGACAGTTAGAACAATTAACCAGTGGAACAACCTGCCTCCAGAAGCGGTGAATGCTCCAACACTGGAAGTTTTTAAGAAGAGACTGGACAGCCATTTGTCTGAAATGGTGTAGGGTTCCTGCCTGAGAAGGGGGTTGGACTTGATGACCTCCAAGGTCCCTTCCAACTTTATTATTATTATTATTATTATTATTATTATTATTATTATTATTATTATTATTATTATTATTATTATTATTATTATTATTATTACTTTATTGGCCCAAAGTGATTAGACACATGGGGAATTTGTCTCTGGTGCATAAGCTCTCGGTGTACATGCAAAACTACAAAGTAATAATAATCATAATAACAAAGTAATACTCATAATAACGATACCAATAAGAAAAGGTAGTGAAACAGATGAGAAGAATAATAGTAATACAGCCATACTATATGGGTAAATATGCTTAGATAAATTTCTTGGCCTGTGATCCAGTTGGTTCCAAAACACAGGGTTATGTGTTATCATATAGATTTACATTAGAAATAAATGGTTGCTCCATGTTTAATCAAAGCACTCATAGGGGTGAAAATTTGTGGTTTCTAGTCTACTTGAATTTCTTCTATTCCCATTGGATTTTTCTGACAGATGAACATGGATGGGAGAGTTCATTTTGTGGTAAATCCTTTGTTGGAGAGGAGTTTAATCCTATTGTCATTGAGGAACTCACTATGGGAATTTAGTTTCTTCTGTCAGTGATAAAGATGGAGATGCTTTGGAATGGGGTTGAAAGAAAGATGATCATTCTTTGCTATAGAATAGTCTTCCTCAATCTGGTGCTCCCCTTGTATGTTGAGTTATACCTTTTTAACACCTCTGGTAGCATAGCCTTTACTTGTGCTAGCTGGGGAGTCAAAGTTGTTTCCCAACATATCTCGAGGGTATCAAGCTGGGAAAAGCTGCCTTAATGTTTCAGATCACAGAAGATACAGAAACATTGAAAACAAGGAAGAATAGCTCTAATACTCATCGTTGTCTCC